TACAGTGCTGCTGCTGCTGCTGCTTCCTCCTCCTCCACCGCCGACATTTACAGTGCTGCTGCTGCTGCTTCCACCGCCATCGATGAGCACTGTACTGCTGCTGCTGCTGCCACCTCCACCAGTGCTGTAATGGTCGTCCACATTATATTCATATCCCTCGCCATAGTCATCGTAGGTTGTTCCCACCTATAAAAACAAAGATATAATTGTAGAGACACAATAATATTACAGGATAAATGGAAAAAAAGGATACACATCAAAAACATTTTTTAAAATGGTTGCAGATCATTCTGTTGATTGACTTAATAAGAAATGATATGTGAGATTTTCAAATACACTGGCATTGCTTCCAGAATGAAGGGCCTCCGATTAAATATCTCACACATGAACATATGTGCAGGTAGACCTTGCATACAGGACACAATAAAGTACAACAATACATTTATTAACCTTACTGGTCACACCATCAAGAAGCAACTGTCATTAAGGTGAACTTACTGAGGTTCGATTGATGATGGTCGTTGTGCCTCCCGATCCCCTGGTGCTCACGCTCCTTTCGATTGCACCACCTGTGCCCAAGTCGATCTTCCCCGCTGCACCCAGATCCAGATCACCCCCGGTTCCGACGCTGGAGATTGTGACACGTCGGGTCTTGTCACCATCCGGGGCTGCTGTGGACTCGTCGTAGTAGGAATCGTAGCCGTCATAGTTGTCATAGCTGTCGTAAGGGCTGTTGTCCACTCCATAGGCGTCCCCTCCCCCGGCAGCAGTGCTGGACGAGCTGGAGGACGAGCTGGAGGACGAGCCGGTGGACGAGCCGGTGGACGAGCCGGTGGACGAGCCAGAGGACGAGCCAGAGGATGAACTTGTGGAGATGGCAGTCAGGACATTGCGGTCGATGCCACCACCAGTGCCACCCCTCAGAACCTCCTCCACTGTGGTCTCCACTGTGTCTCCATCTGTTTCTTTCACCTGTGGGCCATAGAGCATATTCTTGTCAGCTACTTTTGGTGCATTTAAAATAGAGAAATCCATCTGGGTCAAAATATGCATCGGTAGACTACCTTGACTTCAGTGTTGCCGACTGATTCATAAGGCTTGCCATCCACGTCCTCATAGTAAGGGTATTCATAATAATAGTGGTCCTCCTCTGTTTTCTAAAGGAGAGACATATTACAGTGGGGTTGAGACAAAGAGACTGAGGGAGAAAGAATCAGTATCAATTATTATAAATATGACTTTTTAAATATAATCCACAGCTGGCTGCTGCATGTGCGCCCGGCAGGCCATTGATCAGTAGCACACAGGAATGCCTTACACATGCTGAAACCTCATGCTGTATCTCCCTGTTGCAACATGTTACGACTGAATGACAAATTACTTTTCCACAGCAATTTTTTTTCTTAAACGAATATGTCACCCATCTTTAGAAAAAAAAAGGTTTGTTTTTTGTGTAGCTTGCAGGCATATTGACAGGCCCCTGCACAAAAGGAAAAAGGTAAAGAGGAAGAGCTTCCTGTCCATCTTGTAACACTTCTCTGACACGCCTTTAATTAGCATGTGCACAGTGTTCTGGTATTTAATGTGGAAAACAGCGCGGTGCAGGCTTCGGCAGGCACCCTCATCATTCCAGAACATTATTAAGTGAATGCAAAGCCTGGTAGCACTGTTCTTTCCACTCAGTTCTTTACTCTAGCAGAGATCTGAGCATTAGAGACAATTATAGAGCAAGGTCAGCCATGAGAGCATATGCGATTTCTTTTTTTTTGTTTCTACAATGTACTGCATTTTGCTATATGCAAATATACACCAGAACTACATCTAATTGAAGAGCATAACAGTGACCGCCCACTTTTATAACTTCTCTGGTTCCTTCAAATACATTTTCCATCGACATTTCAGAAAACAGTTTCAAGTCTAAAACTAGAACCAGGCCAACCAGCTACGCAATGAATCATGACCTGTAAACATTTGCCTTTTCTTCCGATAGGGTTAGGGTTCAGATTAAGCTCGAAATCAAAGGTACAAGTCTGTGTACCTAATTATTTTTAAGAGTGAAGGAACTATGTATCCCATAAGCCACTGGGAATCATCCCTTTCCGATGACTTCCACTTCTTAAAATTTAACATGGTTGTTTATATAGTGTTGTAAAATATTGTAGTTTGAATCATCTATGTTTGTATGTAGAGTTTCATATAGTGCAGTAATTCTACCTTGGATAGTAAAAATATCATGGTTAATAATCAAAGTCTCTATTCAGAAAATGAATGGGATTTTTCCTTCTGGAACCACACTGTTGAGCCCTATGCATGTCTGCATTGTGTGTACAAAGCTGCACTGTAAGTTTTGAGCATATAGAAGTTAAACTGAAGATGAGAAAGTTGATGTTACTCACATCATCATCTGTGTTGGGGTCCTGGGCCTGAGGCTGATCGGGCACTGGCACTTCGCAGTCGGGGCTGTAGTGCTCACAGTAGTCATAGGCAGCACGATGGTCTGCTACAATCATCAGTTGCTGGATGTCTCCCTGGAAATCAAAAACAGGAAGTCAAGAGACTTGCTGGGCACAGTTACAAGTCATGCATGTAAATAAACAAGCAAACAGTCATTAGTGGAGGAGGGGGGTGAGAAAAAAATGAAAGCAAATAAATATGAGGGAGAACATCTGCCTGCAGCATTATCGCATCCAGAACAGGCCCGAAAGTAGGTCGAGGCAGGGGGAATCTCAGGGTGACTGCATGACGAAGAACTTTGTCCAAGGTCCAGGAGTGAGACAAGAAGAACATGGAATAACTGACTTAATGTAGCTAGTTCAAACAGTAAAACACACACAAACTCCAAGTAGATCTTTAACAAGATGAATGAGTTTAAACAGAACGCATAAGCCCAGCTGGAGATCTGAATAGAACATGAGTGATTCCACCCTCAAGCTGATTGTGTGAGATGAATGGATAAACTTAGCTCGAGTGACACGGAGAACATGAGCAGACCTGCAGATACAGATATCGGACCTGAGAGATGTGACTTAAACGTGTGTGTGTGTGTGTGTGTGTGTGTGTATGTGTATGTGTGCATACACTGAATGGTAGTGCAAGGGGGGAGGAAGAACAGAAGCAGAGGTGAGAGGTTTAAAGAAAGATACAGAAAAGAGGAGGTCGACTGAAAAGAACAAGAGAGAAAAAGAGAAAAGGGTTCAGAAGGATCCCCGGGCAACATGGGGAGCTGGGTGTGTGTGTGTGTGTGTTTGCCACATGTTTTCTGAACAGAATGCTCATGGCACCAAAAACGCTGTATTGTATCTATCCAACTATGTACTGATCACACTTCCAAAATGCAGTGCTGTCGTTCCACATTGATCAAACACAGGTTCAACTAAGCTGAAATGATTATACGTTCAGGGGGGTGTGGGGGTGGGAGAATCATGAAGCAGTGTAACTCTGGGAACAGCCTGCCGCAGAGCATGCAGTGTTTTTCATTATCAGCAATTGCCAAAAGTCTGAAATCGCTCAACATGTCTTTCCAGCTGAAATTCTCCATGGATGACTCTTGCTTTTTTTGACAAACTGAAAATTGATTGCATTTGTGGTGTAACTAGTGACAGTTCACTAAATAGCAACCAATCCCGGGGCTGCGCTTGAACGTAACCACACAGAAGTCATTCTTAAAAAAAGAGATTAAAAATAACATTGAAAAACACTTCACAAGATAATGTTTCCTGCTCCGTCCTTGGCTTATACCATCAGTGGGGTTTTATGGTGGATGCAAGAAAACAAATCCCACTACTTCCTCCAAGACCAAAGGGCTGGAGTGGCCATTACCCACCTACCCCAGTTATGAACTCCTGAGCTCCCAGGAAACATTCTAATGGCTACCTCTGAGCGATTTGTCCAAAAGTCGCAATGCATAAGGGAGACTTGGTATAATTTTCAACAGTCTGTCCTCCTCATCCTGGCGAGACTGTGTGTCACAGCTGCACCAAAAGGGGACGATGGGCGTGCACTGTTGAGGTCACATTGAATAAGGAGTAGGCCCTGAGTACGACAAAACAGCCGCCTGGAGCACTGTGAATGTTTCCTCATTCACATGCCATTCTTCTGCTTTTATTTTTCCCCCCATGCTCTCATTTTTTTTTTCTTCATCTCCCACAGCAGCCGGGGGAATGTCAGCGCGGATCCTGACCACAAGCGGTTTGATCCTAATTTCACCAAGATGAGATAATTAATCATACACCTAAGAATTAATGAGAACATCCCCGCAACACTGGGAGCAGTGTGGAAGAACGTGTTTAATGATGTGTGACATGAGTTCAGAGAAGGAAAGAGAGATGCGGATGCCCCAAAAAGAAAAAAGTGTTGCGTTATATGGGTCATATTGATGATGGAAAAGCTGATGGCTTTGGCTGAAGGTATATGAGAACGGGAAAAAGATGAGAAAATGCTGGATAGAATGTGCAGAAGTGTTTTGCCATGTTAAAAGTTCTGGACAAGAAAAAGAACTGAACACTGCACAAAACCAAGTTCAGACTGACACAAAACAAGATTGCACTGGTCAAAATCGATGCAGCAGATATCTGCAGTTTTTCAATTAGCGTGGGTTAATCTCCAAGAACATGGGGTCCTAAATCTCCCTTAATGTCATTTATTAGCGTCTCTTCATTAGAGCTTCCCTGCAAGTTAAATGCTAATGCTATCAACCTCCACACACAGACTTTCTGTTGTAAAATGTATGGTCTTTTCACAGGATGTGTGGTACTCATGGTAACTTGTAAAATCAATGGTACCCCCTTATTTCTCAGCCAAAGGTTTACACAGATAATTAAAAAAATTATCTATCTACTAATTCCAAAAACGTCTCTGTCTGTAGGTGAAACGCAACACTTAAATCATTCAAACTTGACAGTAAAATCTTCATTGCAGATAAACCAGGCAGGATGAACGCAAAGTGTTCTAACTTCACTCTACACCATAGACTTTCAATGCAATCTACAGTGTATGCGAAAATGCAAAATTTCTACATCATAGCCGATATCTGTTTTTCCTTTCTATCCTCCATCTTCACACATATGATATAAAAGACACAGGCTACAAATGTGCTATTTGTTCCCATGAAAGCTGCTACACTTGAAACTATTGTCAAAGTCTTGATCCACCCCGACAACCGCTAAAGCTGCTTCTGACATACTCCCTTCGCGCCAGAGCTGCTCCTTTCACCGCACTTAGCTAGACGGACTATGGTGCCAAAATGTTATATAAGCTGCTGTTTTAGGGAAACAGTAAATATCACCATACTGTATCCCACTGCATACTAATGTATTAATTTATCATTAAGTATTTAGTCTTCTGGTGCTCAATGGTCAACATGGTGCAGCAGCACAATAAAAGCATGAGATATTCACTCCCTTACAGAATATGGGAGCTACTTCTTTATATTTTGATATAGGGGACCACACTGCAACTACTGTAAATTCAAAGTCAAGGATTCAGCATGTGATAAGGGTGACCACATCACTTGTTCTAAAAAAAACAAGAAATTATAGATTATTCACAAATGGAAGCTAGTGTGCAAAACAAAAGCGGACTAAAATATACTAGCCTTAACATGCAGCCTCATATGCAGACATAAGCACCACCAAACCCACACCCAAACACAGCACAGCAAAGGCAAGAAAAAACCCTGGAATTATAGAATCACATCAAAACCCCAGGGGGGAACCATAAAAGACAAGCAATCAGCTCTCCTCTTTGAGAAGGGACAGTGACATTTTTCACTCCGCAGCGTCATGTGGCACATCAGAGTGGTGCTTAAGGCAGAATTTTCAGACAATAACACGGCTGCGGCTGTCAGCATCTCCCTGGACTCTGCTGAAATACGGTTCTGTTTCTGGCCAGTGCTCTCATGTCGAGCTCCGGCTGAAATGCCATTTGCCTGTGGCTCTCAGCAATGGAAGACCTCACTCCACTTCACATTCATGTGAAAGACAAAGAAAGGCGGTTGCAACTTGCAACAAGATTACGGAAGCAGAACAACAAGATTCTGATCAATAACAATCTATCGTTTCAATATTCCACAGAACGAAATGTCACATCATCTTTTTTTAGGATTTCATCGCTGAGCCTCGCCCTGTTTAGCCCCCCCACATATCAATCCCTGCTGGATGTTCTGGTTGTGTCCAAATGGGGGCAGGAGAGTGCTCCAGTGAGCACAGAGGCAAACATCTGTCTCCATCTGAACCTGACCCACAATCAAGAAGAGTGGAATGAGTTCATCGTCCCTCTTGTGAATAGAAATATATGATACATGAGCAGCAAATATTGGTGCATTTTCAAAGGTCATCGCAACATGATTGGCCTTAAATGTTGCTGAAACGAAATGAACTACACACACACTTCGTCTTTGTCTTCCTCTCTCTTCTCATGCACGAACATATTTCAAGTATGAAGTAAAAGGAGACCAACAAAGGCCTTTTTGATTAGACTAAGCTCTGGAGGTGCTGTCAAATTTGCACTTTCCTGGCTCGGAGCAGCATAACATAAAGCAAACCGCACAAACCAATACTTGTTTTTTCCTACATATCACCAGGGTCAGCTCACACAGGTTCTGTTAACCTCCTGCACCTCACACAATAAAAAGAGACAGCGGCTTACAGAAGGAAAATTCAAGTCTTCGAGTTTTTTTATCATTTCACCAGGTGTCAGCAGAGGGAAAATGGGTCTGGGAGGGTCCCACAGGGCAGGAAAACACTCTGGGAGGTCCGAGCTCTGGCTGCGTTTTTAAGGTGAACTACTTCTCACAGCATATTTACACAGTCACCCATGAGCTCTGAGCCAGGTCTCGGTCCCACTGCCAGCCCACACCGGCAACACTTGCAGTCCCAGTGCCTGACCACAGAAACACACACTGCAGAGGTCAGCTCACTGCACAGGGGCCATAAATTAGCACCATCACACAAATCTGCATCCACAAAATAGTTGCACATGGTGGACATAGCTGTTTGAGTACAAACAAGCAACACACCAACAGGGGAATTGCACTTCCAACAAATATATAATTACCTTTACCAGACATCAGGTACATTTGCACCCACATGCACTTTCCCCTCTAGACTGTTGTGCAAGCCCAACGCTCAGAGCAGCTGCCAAGAGCAACAGGCCCGTCTGCCACCCCACTTATCCACTACACAGCACCTTAACCAACCCCTCACATCTTTGATGCTTTCCCTGCGTTTGGATCCCCCTCTAGGTCTCCTCTCCCCCTGCCCTCCCTCCATCGCACTCCCATCTGTGTAAGATTTTAATCCCACACCTCCAAGGGCCACGGGCGGCCATATTCCCATTTCCCGTCCTCCTTGGGGTGGTGGAAACCGGAGCGGCTCGCCTCACCTAGCAGACGTAGTCTCATGAGTGTTTGGCTTGGCCGTTCGCTGAAGTGCTGAGGGTACACTTTCAAGGCTTGCTGACGCGGTAAAGGGGGAACGGAGGGAATAAAGGGGGTGAAAGACAAACATCTGACATGAGTTAGGGAAATTCT